AAAGTTGTCTTTCAAAAATGATCTTAGTCCCTTAAATAAAATGGTAAGATATCTTACAACATTGCTAATCATGGATATACGATGACCCTTGCCCATCCCTTTTACATCCAAAGATATGGTTACTTACCAAATCAACGGTAAGATAACAATATCAAAGGAAAGAGGAAATAAACATGAAAGACTTTTGAGTAGGTAGATTGTTCCTAGTTGGTTGCTCCATTTCAAAACCAAAAACATCATTGCCATTTTTTAAAACAAACACCAACACTTTCAAAAACATCTTTCAAACTTGAAAACATTTTTTTTCAAAAGATCAACACTTTGTATACATTCTTACGAACGATAATCATTACAAATTTTGCCTAAACGATGGCGCCTTTTTAAAATACTTTAAAAAATCACACAAACCACATTTTCAAACAAAAGCAAGTGATCTAGCAAGTAACTAAGAGCCCATGGAAAACCATGGATAAAAAGGGTGCTAATACCTTCCCTTTTCATAATCTACTCCCTGAACTCAAGAAAACATCTCAAAGGTCTTTCCTGTTCTTTTCAGCCTTTCCTTTTGGATAAAAGAAAAGTTGGTGGCAACTCTTGCTAACCGCAACATTTGCAATCAAACGCAAAACGACCAAGTCAGTTCTTCCACCGTGTTACAATTATCATTATTCATATCAATACTACTGTATATGGTTAACAAAATTATTGTGTTAAAATTATTTTATTATATTATTAACTAAAGTCAATACCTGACTTTAAGTCTATTATTAATATTATTGATGTTATCATTTTTATTATTATAATTATTTATTATCTTAATCAAAATTTGGATATGATAATTTTTTTATTAATGAACATTTTAATTAGTTTCATAATTACTATTATTAACATAATTTATTATTAGCAGTTATTAGTTTTATTAATTATTAAATCAATTTTATTATTATTGAAAAGCATTGACTAAAGTCAAAATTGCATAGAACCCATAATCATCCACTTTGTTCATCCAATCCTCTGTCAAGTTCATCTGTAACCCTAGTGCATCGCCACATTCATCCAAGCCGAATAGGTCCAAGCCTATAAACAACCAAAATGCAAAACGTATGAACCCAGAAGATCCAAAGGCCCAAAAACGCAGAAGAAAATGGCAATCTCAGAAGCAAATCAAAATGTGTAATCTCAGAACCAATTTGTATCAAAATATTAAACAGAATCAAATCAATATTGTATATTTTTCCAGAATCATAGCAAATTGTACCAAATCAAGAACAGATTACAATCAGTAATCTTAACAAATCAAATCCTTCTAAAACAGAATCAATAGTTTACAAATTTCCTAAATCTAACTCTAATTTAAATTCAATCAAAGTCTAATCTCTAAAAATCTTCCCCAATCTCAGAATTTCTAACACCAATATAACAAATTTTCCTAATCTACGAATTCCTAAGCCTATAAATACGAACCCTAATCTACAGGAGAAGGGACTGGATTTTTGCTGAAGAATGAATAGGAGTAGAAGAAGAAAAGAAGAAGGAAAGTCTTAGGGTTTCAATATCTGAAACCCTAAGAGATTTAAGCCGTCATCGATCCCTTATAATCGCCGTCACGACTCATCGGGTGCCTTCATTCTCGAAGCTTCTGAACCTGAAAGTCGAACAAAGGAGGAGGAGGTTAGAGATGAGCAAAGTCTCATACTACCGATTGCAACGTTGAACAGAGGTTTGTTTATGCTTAGTCTTTTTATGATTTCTGCTATGATTGATATTATTGTGGGGATTGTTGAGGAATTTGGGTATTTAGGGTCGGATTTGGTGCGATTTAGGGTGAACAAAAAGGGAGGCCGTCGCTGGGTGTTGGATGTTGTTTTAGGGTTCAAAGAACGAGGGAGAGAATAGAAGTGAGGAGAGAGAGATAGAAACGAAAATGAAATAAAATAAAAAAAATGAAATTTTTGTTATATTCCCTTCGTCGCTTTCGATGGGAGACATGTGGCCAACATATGGCCACGTGATCTCTCGCGTACTCGTAGACCTTACCGTGCACCCACGCATCCCTGACCGCTTGATAACCATCACATGATCTAAATTTCGTAACCCCTCCATAACCAGATGCGCACGCCTATACACGATCCAAACGGATCCAACCTCCTTATAGGCCAAGTCCAATATCTGGACTTGAGCCCAATACTTTTAACATCCCCTGGAAATTGCTACATAACCTAGAATACACCCACCTGCGTTTTGTTTAAATTAATTAATAAATTTATTTGTTTAAATTTTTATTCATTCATTCTTTTTTTTTAATTTGCTATATGAAAAATATTTTTTCAGAATTAATAAAATGATTATAATAGTTTTATAAAAAATATTTGAAATATTTTTAATAAAATTATAAAATAATTATTTGTTAATTAAACCTTTTTTTTAAATACTAACATATTTGCATCAAATATTTTTCTATTCAAATTAATTTATTTTTAATTTCATAGCATATTCAAAAACAGGTAACCAACAAACGCTAACATTTTCTTACTAACATAATTACAAACTTTTATTATTTAAAAAAAAGGATTGTGGATTTATTTACTATTAACTGTGAACTTCGTCTACGACTACACAATTTCAAATTTAGACTTGTTTCAAGTCTTAATTCTAAACACCTCCACAATCCAAAAAAAAACTTACTAAATCATACGAACTACGAATAGGGACCCTGATTTCTCATAAGAGGATACGTAGGCACACGACTAAAATTGTGGCGAGTTCCCATAATAAAAATTAGAACCCTTACCTTAAACCTTTAAAATCTAAACCCTAGTATCCTTGTGAATAAGATAGATGATGGGTGCCTAACACCTTCCCTTCATCTAAGAATGAGTCCAAAAAACCTAGAATCTCTAACTTTTAGGGTTATTCCTTTATATTCCTTTCTTTAGGATAAAAATTAAGGGTGACGACTTTATAATTTAAATCCAGTTACAACAGGTCTTAAATGTCCTGTTCTTTGACAAAGGAGATGTCCTGTTCTTTGACCAAGGAGATTTCAAGACCAAATTGTTCTTGGTGTCGAACAATTTTAAAGCCATATCTTTCATAACAACTGAGAAACCTTTTTCGACAAGTTGTCCAATACTTAGAAGGTTTCACTTTATTCCAGGTACATAGAGCACATCTTTAACGATAGCTTTCCCTCCATTACTTCTTTGAAAAACTATATTGCCAATACCTTCTGCTTGCAACGAACTATTATCAGCAAGTTTTACCTTGCTCTTCTTGGACTCGTCTAAATCTGCTAACCACACCTTTTGACCAGTCATATGATTCGAACAGTCTGAGTTGAGGAATCAAATCTTGAATTCGACATGGTTATTTGCTACTGCAGCCATAACCACCATACCTTCAGAATCATCTGAGTCTTGACATACAAGGTTTGCTCCTTCTTCCTTGCTTGTCGATCCCTTGTCTTTCTTGTACCAACAATTCTTGGCCAAATGACCCCACTTTTCATAGTTATAACACTACATATCTTTCTTATCTTCTTCGTCCTTTCGATAGTTTCCTCCTTCTCTTTTCAAGGATTCATAAGCTCTATCTTCGACCTGATGCTTGTGAGAGTTCGACCAAGACTTCTTTCCTCGAGTCTTGTCGATTTTGCCTTTGAATTTGTTGAAATCACCTTTCCTTTTTCATGACTGAATTTGCAGAGCTTGTATCGAGTCTTGAACTCCTTTCTTTTCGACAATCCTAATCTCACGCGCTTCTAACGAAACAACCAAATCTTCCACTTTTAGGGTTTCAAGTTGATTGGATTCTTGAATAGCTACAATAATGTGATCGAAGTGAGAGGTCAATGTTCGCATTACCTTCTTAACTATCATGTTATCAGTTATGGTTTCACCACAACCCTTCATGAGATGAACTAGTTTCTGGACCTTTGACACATATTTTGCAAATTTTTTGTCTTCTCCCATCGATAATAACTCATATTATCGACGCAAGGTCTACAACTTGACAACCTTGACTTTCTCACCTCCCTCACAATAATTGACCAGAATATCCCATGCCTCCTTCGATGTTTCAGCATGAGAGATTTTGTCGATATTAGCAATATCGACCTCCGTCTGAATGCAATAAGCAGCCCTGCAATCTTTCTTCTTGACTTCGTTGTAGGCAGTTTTCTTTGCTTCGGTTGCATATGCAGTCAGCGCACGAACGCCGTCGGTAACCACTTCTAGAGTATCTTGGAAGCCAAATAAAGATTGTATATGTTTTTTCCATCGGATTCAATTTTTGCCGTCAATATTGGATGAGAATTCGGAATGCCCTTATCACCAGCCATCTTCGCAGCAGTTGATTCACTTTCCTTGGAAACACGATCTCTGACGTGGTGTTCTTGTAAACACGATCAAGAACAATAACTGAAAGCTTCGAATACCAATTTATTAGTGCGTGAAGCAATTTTAATGAAGAGAGAAGAGAGAATAATAAGAAAATAAAGATTATATTATTTACTTAAATTGTATAAATAATAATATAAACTATAACTATTTATACACAACCCCAATTAAATTTAAATTTACCAACTTAAATTATATTTGATATCATATTTAATATCTCAACACCGTTTAGATATTTTTATAATCCTTAATATATCAATATTTCATATAAATTCTAAGGTGATGTATTCGAACACATCCCGCTTTAATTTATGAGTATAATTTTAATATTTGTATTCGAACATATGCCTTACCTTGTATACATTAATTATTAAATTAGTAATTTGTCAAACTCTAATATTTTCCAAACATATTTAAGCTTAACGATGCAATATATTAAATAACATTAGTTATATATTTTTATATAATATATTGCAATCTTCTCAAAAAAAAAAATAGAAAATATTTTATTATTAAAAGGAGAAATTACAAATAATTAAACTTACAAAAGTTTCATGAATGGACTATAAACTAAATAAAAGAAAGCCAATCAATAGATCATCATCAAAACCCATCAAAAGGGAGAAAGAAGTCATCATCAAACTCCACGAAATCATACAAGAAACCATACTGCATCATACTCTTGTGATCAGTTTCAAGTGTTGATGATAGAGTAGGAACATGGCTTGTATAGTTAGAACTATCAAAAGCTGTATGAGTGGAGAACATGTCCTTATTCACTAAATCATGTGAGGAAGATGAAGATTCTTGGTTTGTTGGAACTGAGAATGTGTTGTTAAAGCTAAGCAATATGGAGGAATTAGTGTCATTAGGGCCATGTATGATGTGATGGTTGGGCATGTTACCACAAGTGTGGTGGCCATAATAGGTGGCTTTATATAAGGGAGGTTTTTGTTGAATTCTCTCCACCTGTTTGGTTGTTAGGCATCTTTGATCATACTTGTGAGTACACCTGTAGTAGTTCCTGGATATATTAAATTGGATAGAGAAAAATAAAATAAAAATATTTAGTAACCCTAGAGTTATTTGCATGGTTGTCAAGATTTCGATATAGATCTTAAAATTTTAATAATAATTAATACTGACCTTGGGTATTGAGAATTGTTGATATTTTTCTGGCCATACTTTCTCCATTGATGACCATCATCATCTATGGGAGTTTCTGTCACCTTCTCCAGTGTAGTGTTTCTGCATGCATGATAGTTCTAATTATCGAAGAACATCCTAAGCAAACACATGTAGTTTAAAAAGATAGGATAAAAATAGTGGTACCTTCTTTTGTAAGGTCCTCTGGTAGGAGAAGAAGTAGTTTTGCAACTTTTTTCCATGTTGACAACTGATCTAACTCCGGGAGCAATAGAGGAAAAATCATGTTTGTCTATGAGAAAAAGAACATTGCTAAAGGAATTGATGATGTTGTTGACAAGATATTGAACAAATGAAGTTGTTGGTGTCAAATCATTAGTATTATTATTATTAAGCAGTAATTGTTGGAGCTGGTTAGCAAACTCACACCCTCTCATAATCTCCTCCATTGCCTTTCTATGATTCTCCTCCATTCTCATTCTCAATACTACTCAGTTATTATTACTATATCATACTTCAAATAGATCTTGGCATCCATGATGTCATTGGATGACGTTATCAGGAAAAGATAATGTGAATGCAAGTAAATTTAGTTCTGGCTCCGGGTGATGCGGATCTTGGACAAATAAGTTTACGAAAGAAACTATGCAGATTTTGTCTGCCAAACCAGGTGGTTTTTTCATCGGACAGAAACTACTAGGATTATTTGAACAAGGTTTCTTTTTGAACCTAAGAGAAATGAATTGAATGAGGTCAGTAAAAACAATATTCTCAATGAATCTAGTCATTTATTCCCTCTAAATATGATTTAGATGATATGTTGTATAGTAGGTGAAAATATGACTATCTTTATTTGGGGAAGGCTTATATGTGTATCCTAAGAAGCTATAATTCAATGTTTTGTATGCAAGCTAGGATTTGATTGTATTGAAGTAGTTAGTCAAAGTAGTAGGAGTCAGATATATTCAATCCAATACAACATTTAGTTGTTGTGTCGAAGTTAATAGATAATTTGTATGCTTTGAACTTAGGTTATAATTGGGTTTAGACTGTAAGTTTGGGTTTGGGCTTTGATCGCCTATAAATAAACATGACTTGTATAGTTTCAACAATACCACACACTTAACAACAATAACTAATTTTCAAATCCAATTCTCTCTCTCTCTCTCTCTCTCTCTCTCTCTCTTGAAAACCCTTTTGTCCCAACAAATTGGTATCACAGAGTCCGAGTTGCGATTCAGAGAGAATTTGTAATGACAAACAGGACAAAAATATCAACGCAATTTCCAGTTAATCTACCTGTTTTCAAAGGTGAGAACTACGAGACGTGGGTATCAGAAATGAAGGTCATCTTCAGATTTAAAGATGTGTCTAAAATCGTGAATGGTGGAGTAGCGACATTGAAAGCAAATGTGGATGATGAACAGAAGACTGCACACAAGGATAAAAGGAAGAAAGATGGAAAAGCTTTGTTATTGATTCACTAGTGTGTGGATCCTAATGTGTTCAAGAAGATTATTGAAGAGGAAACAACAAAAAAAGTATGGGGCAAGTTAAAGAACTTGTACGACAGATGAAAAACTGAAAAGAGTGAAATTGTAGACACTGAGAAAGAAATTCGAGATGACTCAGATGAAGGAAGATGAATCTGTCTCAATAATTTTCATGTGTGGTGTTGTTAACGAACCAGATGAAGGTGTATGCTGAATCAATCAATAATTTACAGAAAATTGAGAAAGTGTTGCAATCTCTGACTGTAAATTTTGATTACATTGTGGTGTTTATTGAAGATTCAAAGAACCTAGCTAAGATGAAGTTGGAAGAACTTCAAACTTCATTGGAGGCTCATGAGACGAGACTCAAGCAGAGAAATTCAGAAAAGGAAAAGGTGACTGAGCTGACACTACAAGCAAGATTCACCAAGAAATTTGGAAAAGATAAGGCAAAGCAAGGAAATAATCCTGCTAAAATGAGAAGTCATGCATGAATTCAAAGAACCACTCTGATTCAACCAAGAAATGTATGGGCAACAAGTATTGTGGGAAGAAAGTTGACATGTAGAAGATTCAGTGTTAGAACTGTCAAAGATTTGGCCATTATGCTCAATATTTTCGAAGAAAGAAGGAAGCACGAGCAAAAGATAGTACTGAAGATAGTGATTCAGATGATGTGCTACTCATGACCAACACTCAGTCGAACACTGAGCAAACTAACATATGGTACCTGGATTTATAATGTATTAACCACATGACTGGTAATAAAAACTGGTTCACCAAGTTAGATGAATCAGTTAAGAAGGTGGTAAAGTTTGTAGATAGCAGACATGTCACATCAGATGGAAAAGGACACACGTCTATGGTGAGAAAGGATGGTCGAAGGATCAACATCACTGATGTTTTGTATGTACCTTTCATGAAAAGTAATTTGATAAGCATAGGCTAATTACTTGTCAAAGGGTACAGATAAAACCTAACCGACAATTTAGATTCTGGAAAGACCCTTCTTACTGGAAACCCATTATGACCTTTGTACCACCAGACACTTATGCCATTCAATAACTGGAAGCTTGAAAAGTACCAAATAAAGATATATAATGGTGATGAAAGGTTGATTCTGAAGGCATTATTGACAAACAGCAAAATATTTAAGGTAGAGATAAACACAGTTGATCACAAGTTTCTTGCTTTGACTGCAGAAGAAGACAAGAATTGACTATGGAATCACATGTATGGACATCTAAACTTCACAAGTTTACGAATGCTCAACTAGAAGAAGATGGTGTACAGATTACCTCAGGTGAAGGAACCAAGTCAGGTTTGTGAGAAATGTTGAAGAGCAAAGAAGGCTAGGAAAGAATTCAAGTATGACTTGCCTATGAGATCGAAGAAAAAGCTGGAGCTAGTTCACTCTAATGTGTGTGGACCTTTTGAAGTAAGATCAAATGGAGGTAACTATTATTTCCAAACTTTCATAGATGAAATCACCATATATATATATATATATATATATATATATATATATATATATATATATATATATATATATATATATATATATGTGTGTGTGTGTGTGTGTGTGTGTGTGTGCGTGCGTGTGTGTGTGTGTGTGTGTGTGTGTGTGTGTGTGTGTGTGTGTGTGTGTGTGTGTGTGTGTGTGTGTGTGTGTGTGTGTGTGTGTGTGTGTGTGTGTGTGTGTGTGTGTGTGTGTGTGTGTGTGTGTGTGTGTGTGTGTGTGTGTGTGTGTGTGTGTGTGTGTGTGTGTGTGTGTGTGTGTGTGTGAATTTACCTTATTGAAAATAATAATGAGGTATTCACATAGTTCAAGAAGTTTAAGTTACATGTCAAGAAGCAAAGTGGATGCTAGGAAAACAAATTGAGAACCGATGGTGGTGGTGGTGAATACACTTCTCAAGAATTTTCTAGATTTTACAGTGAGGAAGGTATAAAATATGAGGTCATTGCACCCTATACACCTCAGCACAATGGTATAACTGAAAGAAATAACAAAACTATATTGAATATGACAAGGAGCATGTTGAAAGATAAAGATATGCCAAAGAGATTTTGGAGTGAAGCAGCTTCGACAACAGTATACATTCTAAACAGATGCCCAATAAAGAAGATGGTTGAGAAGACACCTTATGAGGCTTGAACAGGACATAAGCCAAATTCATGTCATCTTAGAGTTTTTAGATCAATTGTTTCAGGCATGTTCCTGACAAATTAGAAAAAAGATAGATGATCGAAGTCATACCATGGTGCTCATAGGTTATCATTTGAATGGTGCACACATGTTATATTCACCAAACGATGATAAACTAGTGATTAGTAGAGATGTTCTAGTTGACGAAAGCAAATGGTGGAATTGGGCTCAAGAGTCTGGTCGACATATGGAAGAGGAAATCCTAATTATGATTGTAGAAGAAGACCTACAAACTAAAGTCACAATCAATCAAAATGTAGAACCACTTGATAAAAATGTCATAAGATCGATTAGAACGAGAACTGATGCAATAAGGCTAGCTGGATATGAAAGACTTCCAAATCAATTTGTCGATGCAAATGGTGACTTAATAGGAGAAGAGGAGATGATTGCTCAAGCATAACTAATTAATTTGGACCAAGCCATAAATGATTCAAATTGGTGTGAAGCCATGGAAGAAGAACTCATGGCAATCGAAAAGAATAAGACCTATGAACTTGTCAAAAGAGCTAGCAAGAAGCCAATTTATGTGAAGTGGGTTTACAAGCTGAAACGAAGTCCAAATGATGAGATTTCCAAGAAAAAGAAAAGACTAGTGGGGAGAGTTTTTTTTGCAAGAACCTGGTATTAATTTTGACAAGGTTTACAGTTACACGTATGTTACAAGGTTGGAGACAATCAGGATTATGGTGTTGACGGCATCATATAGATGGGGGAAATACATTAGTTGGATGTAAAATCAACATTTCTAAATGGACCTTTGGAAGAAGAATTATATGGAATTTAACCACCAAGATTTGAAATCAAAGGGAATGAGTCAAAGGTGTACAAATTGAGGAAGGCTCTCTATGGCTTGAAGCATGCCCCAAGAGCTTGGAATAAGAGAATAGATGGCTTCCGGATTGAAACATGTTTCATAAAGTTTGTCTCTAAACATAGAGTGATGTCAATAATGTTGATAGGGCCAGTCAAATCATTTTATGCATGTATGTAGATGATTTGTTTATTACAGGTGCAGATGAAGTTGGGACAAGAAAAGTCAAGTCGAAGTTGATGCAGGAGTATGAAATGTCTGACCTAGGAAACTTGTCATATTTCCTAGGGATGAAGTTCAAAGACATAGGTGAAGAAGTGTTCTTTCACCAAAAGAAGTGTGACCAATACATACTTAAGAGGTTCAAGATGAGCAACTGTAATGTAGCTGCAACGCCATTAGAAACTGGAGCAAAGTTGAAGAAGGTTACAAATGATGAGTTTGTTAGTGCAACACTATACAAACAAATAATTGGATCCTTGAGGTATCTTTGCAAAACTAGACCAGATATTTTTCAAATCATTTGACTGTTGAGAAGATTCATGGAGAAACCCCAAGAATGTTATCTCATAGAAGTTAAGAGGGTGCTGAGATACATAAAAGGTATGATTGATCATAGTGTGTTGATGCCAAGATAAAATAAGAACAACACAAATGTATAAGTTTATGGCACATTGATTTAGATTTCAATGGAGATCAAGACGAGAATAAGAGTACTACAAGATACATATTCATGATCGTAGGCACTCCAATCTCTTGAAGCTCAAGGAAGCAAAGCATTTTTTCTTTGTCATCGTGTGAAGTTGAGAATGTAGCCGCATTGTATGCAACATGTCAAGCAGCATGGAAAGAGATATTACCCAAAGATCTCAAGATTACGGAACCTAAGAAGATGAAGTTGTTTGTAGACAAAAATCCAACCATCAACCTAGCCAATCACCCTATATGTCATGGTCG